GTTGTACAGCATGCGCAAAAGATCACTGCCTTACTCCAATGCAGGCAACAATTATTAACTGGTTGCATCGGATAAATAATTGAACAAACAAATTAATTAATTAAAAAATTAATTGTTACTGAACGCTTGCTTGATACCAACGATTTCCCAGGAATCCATGGATAGTGAGTTGAGCATTGAAAACCTGTTTTCGCATCGTAGTAACATTTTGTGAATGTTTTATATGCATTCGACTCAAGATGAACATCCCACCAAATGAACGAATGTGAACAGTCACAATGTTAATCGTAGAGTGAAACATTTGTGCATTTCTACTTTGGCTACTCATAAGTAGCATGATTTATGTTTACAATAATGCTGTGAGTTCAGTGAGCCGTGACGTGATTTACCATCTAACTGATATGCCTTTAGCTGTTACATATGAGTGCATTTTGGAGCTTATATTGCATAAGCGAATAGACACAGTGAATTAATTAGTAGTCTAAGTGGCAAAAAAGGTCATATTGAAAATAGGTATGGTAGTTGGGAACAAACCTTCTGTGGGCTGGTGGTAGGGTAATGCAGGGATTGAAATACAAGTTCGCACGGATTAAAAAGGGTTACATAATCAGTTGTGATCTTCTTTCTTAATGGTGATTTAAATTTTTATATTATGTAATCGAGCCAGTGATGGATGGCCAAGGAAATTCGATAAATCGGTCCAGTTTTTTCTAAACGTATAAAGGGGTTTATCCAGCCGAATCATTATCACTATCGTGATTAGCAGCAGAAGACCTCTGACCTCATTTGATAATTGACGCTGTGGATAAGTCAGAATGATTCAACCAGATTAATCTCGTAATTCATTTTGTTTGCATGCGCAGCAATTTTGTCTGCTCCATTGTTGCTCTGTGTAATTCAAGTTGTCTATTGTACGACCAACTTTTCATTTTCTTCCTAATGACCACATTTTGCGAAGTTCATACGCTTTCCGAAGGTTTAGGTGAATACCCGTTGAAGTTAAAATCAAATAATACATGAAGAAAATTAAAGAAACCTTATCTAATCCTTGTTACTTTCGTTCCTTTCTTACTCAGGATTCTGGTCAAAGCAGCTACATTGAGGATCTCTTCTACAACGAATCCCGAACCGCGGGTAACGGTTGGGTTGCGGCCACACCAACCTACACAGACTCGCAAGGCGAACCGAAAGAGCCACCGGAAAAATTCCCGTTAGCAGACGGATGGCAATGGGATGGCGACTGGAGTGTGGACTACAATCGGCCGTGTGATGATGACGGTTTTGAGTATACGGTTAACGCTGCCTTGGGTGGATATGTGGTCGTCGAGAAGTTGTATCACTCGTTTCGCCGTCGTCGACTTATTCGTCGTCGAATCCCGACCGACAACGCATCCAAGACAATTAAAGAGGTACGATAGCCCCAGGATACCTTGGTTGACTCGGCAATCCGAGTCAGGTGTTTCTGATCTTATTGGCCGTTTCTGCCGGAATTTGTGGCTTACGTTTCCCAATAAAAACATTATTGGGTCGTTCTGGCAGTAACAGTAGATGGCCGATTCAAAACGCCTTCAAATGATGATATCCAAAGAATGTAGGAATAAAAATTGTTTGCAAAATCATAGACATATGATGAACCCCGCAAACAACTAAAATATCATCTTCCGATAAAAAGTAACGAAGATCGCAGTGCGCACAGCCAACGATTGTCAAGCGCTTGTGTCTCAAGCCCCGATCTGAACCTCAAAAGTTGATGATACACGCTAGTAAGAAAATGGGTTCGTCACAAGGTATATTTCACCTCTTTTAAGCGGTGCATTACTATGTTCGAATCAGTTAGTTGTGGGCAAGGAAATCGATTCACTGCGGTTCATCGTGTTTAGTTTCCTTTAAACGGGAAAATTTCTTTGTTGTTCTTCTTGATAGGCCAGTAATATATACACACATATAAACCTTCGTAAAAAATTGTGAATTGATTAAATGATCAAAGAATATATTTTGTAGTGATTGTCAATAGATTACTTTATCTAATTCCCCCCTTAATGATATTGCCGTTTCCCTCTGTTTTTCTTAACATCTGATTGATGTTTAGTCAGCTTTGTCGAGGGGTTTTTGAGTTCTGTGGACAAGTCTGTATGGACTGAACTCAATCGCCTCAAGCCTATTTAGAATTTGTTACCTGACCCCTTCAGAACTATATATTGCAATAGCCTACAGAGGATGTTAAGCACTTCATTTCGTGTTACTTGCGCCCGGTGTCAACCAGATGGGTGTGACTTGCACCAACTTTCGTCATGTTGTCGATTCTCTCTAGGCTGACTAAATCGGGACATGATTAGGTTTCGTCCAGACAATCAACCGTTTGTCCTTCCCATTGTATCAACTCTACAGCAAGAGGAATAAGAGCAAATATAAAATATGGTCGAATCTTCGCATAGTCATAACCACGGGCTTGCACTGACTGCGGTCAATACTTTTGCTATGGCATGCGATAACAGACGGGCGATTTGTTTCGGATTTCATATCTCCTTCAACTACCACGCTTACTTAAATGAGTTACGGGGAGAATATTTGAATATCTGTCGTTTGCGAACACATATTTATATTGCATTGGATTAAGTTTTCTGCAGTTTCTCACAGTGCACGGAATGAATTCCAGTTCTAACTGATCAGCAAGAAAAGTACCTGCATTGCCTTCGTCAGACTGGTATGTGGTAGGCGTTTAAGCCCAACTCCGATCAGCCTGAGAATGTTTGAAAGAGAACACGATAGAAAAGAAGTGATCCAATTTGCTCTCTTGACCTTCTGAATTCACGATTTGCTCACTGAACCGTTCAAAGTATGCAAATTTTCACGTGTTTGTGTGCCCTACTAGCTTGTCGAGAACTGCCGAAAAAATTGATCTCAGTCATATATTGGTAGAATTCTTTGATGTGGGTGTTCAGTGATTCAGACATCTTGCGATGTCAAAAGCAGTTCTTAAATACGCATAACCAAGGCAAGTTCGCACAGTAAGATGGAATGGATAAGCACATTTGTTCAGGCGATTTCCACAACCTCTCGATTCACTGTCATATGAGACAAGATAGAAATGAGCACCAGCAGGCTAACGTGAATCACCCCGAGGCTTCCAAAGAGTACGAAATGAGCACATACCCAAAACGGGTTGAGTAGGACTAAAAGGGACGACAAATTCTGGCCAGTACTCCTTTCACCACTCTCATTTCCTCTAGGTCAACTAGTTTCGGGGCAAATGAAACTTAGCTGTTTGACTAAATACTCGATAATAATAATAATAATAATAATAAAGAAGTGAAAGAAAAAGTTAAACTCCATTAGGGGAATTACTTTTGTATGAGAAATGACTTTTTACATGCAAAGATCAACAAAAAGAGTTCTAACTACACGCAGCACATGTCTGGCATCTACAGTGACATGCTATCGCTCAGTTCACTTGCCGCAATGAAATACTTTCTTCCGTTTTCTTTGTGTGAGCACAACCACATCCCAACAACACAAAGTTACTGGAGAACTTTCAAAAGACATCTTCTTCGACCATTTTAATGATATAGCAACGCCTACGTTTAGCACGGAACGTTTTAAACTGGATAGTTTTCAAGGAACCGCTGATTACCTTAACACTTGCTTCCAATATTGGGACAGACAATTGGGACTTAAGCGAAATGGTGTTCAATGAACACCATATTGCAATAGATTATAGTTATTAAAAAAATCGGCCTATGGGTGTGTTATGTTGATCTATATGATTATGATGCAATGCAACCTTGTTTATTTTACTTCCCTTTTCATTACATTCAATCAGACTGTGCCCACGCAGTCACAGGATCATTGGGANCATTGGGAGTACGCGTTCAATTTTGAATCGTCTTTTCACGCCAAGGAGCGTAAAGTTGACATGGCACGGAGACGTCGTTGGCATCGAGCTATCAAACCTGTGGGCGAAACTGTGGAAGGAGCAAGCTGCGTTATGCAATTGGGTGGTTCAGGAGCATCCACTGTAAATATTTTTATTATTATTATTATTATTATTTAACCCGAACACAAATTTTCGGGGCTTATTTGACCGCAACTTATTCTTCTCTAGTGAATGACGATTAACCAAGTTCAGAGTTAAAACAGAGCGAAGACTGATACCACGAGATGTTGACCTTTCTTTTGATCTCCTCAGTCGCCACAATGTAAAACAATTTGGCATTTATGCATGGAAGTTTTGATAACTACAGTGGTTAAACGGACAACAGTCAGGGGGATCTGATCCAGGATCAGTCCCTCGGCAATTTGACTGGTTGTGTCAAAACCTTTTACGCATACAAAATTAAATTACTTTGTTTGATCAACACTGCTTTGCTAAAGTTTAAGAGCTTTGAATGCATGTTCCATAAAGACAGCTTGAACGACAAAAGTGGATCAACGATGCATCCAGTTGTCATGATATGTTTTGCAGTTGATGACATTGGATTTCTCCCATCAAGTTAACCTTTCAGATTATGTTGCGTCATCGACTGTGATAATCACTTTGGTATGTGTTTGGACATTCATTGAGACAGGGGTCGATTTGTTCTGCTGATGTCACCGCAACTGCAGGTGAACTGATAGGTAAAACTTGAAGTGAAATTGGGCGGCTGGCTCTGTTTCCATTTTTCCAGAAAAATTCAATGGGTGTATGGTTTCAGTCGAATCGATCCGACAGGAAGCGTTCTGCACAATACGGCCTTGATCTTCTGAAGTACGTTGTTCATTTGATGGCCACCTCTGAAGGCCAGTTTGAGGAAGACATATTTCTTCGGTACTTCGTAGACGGAATCAATACCTTGACTACAGTCCGTTGAACCACTGTAGTTATCAAAACTTTTTTGCATAAATACCGCATTGTTTTGCGTTATAGCGACTGAGGAGATTAAAGAAATGCTAATAGCTCCGAGTATTTGTCCTATATCTCTGTTTTAACTAACTGGATAAAGGTAACTCAATGTTTCAAGAGTTTAGAGTGAAAAGGTGTATATATATATGTCAGTTTTGTAAACAACGGTGTTGATTGGTGTTTTTGTAGCTCGGGTGGTATAATTTGATGTTCAGGTGTTCGCCGAGCTTGGCAATTGTATTGCAATACAATTGCAATACAATACATATATATATATATTGTAGTCTTCTTTCATTTCAACTATATATGACAAACTGAATACCATTCCTGTCAGAAACCTGTCCCCTCTGTTTGATGAGGCACACTCACTAATGTACACTGAACCATGACCATGATGCAAAGCTGACTGAGTCCTGTGCTAGCTTGGTGATGGTTAACTCGGTAGCTGGATATGCTTGTTGGATAAATTTGCTTGCTCAGAAGACTGATCAAGAGAACTAGATAGCAATTTTGTTTGTTTTGGTTCCCGCCGGGATTCGAATCCGTAATCTTCGGGTTGGGCGCCGAAACCCCTACTTCTGAGGTACACGACCGAAGGCCAACAACTTCCAAGAAACGGCAATATGCCACTCACTACCAACTTCTACAATGTCACGAAGGTGAATCTCAGCCCTGTATTCGTATTTTGTGCAATATAACTTGGTTTCGTCTCCTAGCTTGGAACTACTAGGCCTTCCAATCTCAGTAGGCAGTCTGAACCGAACTGACTCGCTACAGATCATGGTAAACTATCATTACGAATAAGCTGAAGTAGATCAATTCCCAACCACATCGTGAATATATCCTCACATTTAACTAGTAATACTGATTCTTAATTGCTATCTGAAATTACAGCTGGAGTGTGTTCTTAAAATACTTTGTGTATTTTGAGCGGTACTCCACAGCATTAATTACTTTAATTTCCATTATTTCCTCACAGAGCGGGAAAATGACCGTTCCGCGGGTGTATCTGCGCTATACAGGTAAGTTGATTATCAGATAGAGCTTCTCCGATCAACTCCTCTCATCAACTCAAGTAATTGAGCATGACTTATTGCACACTGAAATGTATTTTCAAACAATGTTTTCCAATATTTTTGCAAGACTACATCTCAATAGACGATTTGCAAAGCGCGAAATAAACTTTTCCTGGTATCTTTTAAAGATGAGCATATTTTTCGTTTTATTTCGCCCGATTCTTCCTGTTTACTTTCCTGAAACATTGTTCTAAATATTTTAAGGATGTGGGATTGTCGATTGTGTTTTCATCCTAGGATGTTCAACTGGTAGTGCTTTCCATTGGGCTCTGTACTTATTATCACTTGTACTGACATTCACAGAGGCTGGAAGATCATCGATCTACAATAAGGCAGCTCTTCAAAGAGGCTTGCTGGCAGGATTCCATCAGACAGTCTGGAAGTGATGTGATGATCACCTACACTCTCTTGATTATCGCCATCATAGTTCTCACTATCATGGTCCACCTGATATAGAATTGGTCACATCCTCTATTGTGACACACATAATGTGCCCCGCGACTCTCGTATTCTATGCCTTAATTCACCCATTGTCTTCCTTATTTAGGCCCACACACATGGCATCTGAGAGCTTATCTGTTTCAGGCCCGTAGTTTGCTGGGTGCTGATGATACCGGGCTCTCCGATCCTTATGTGCGATGCTCTTTCCAAGGTTTGACACAACGCACAGAGACAATCATGGCCACATTGTGTCCTACTTGGGATGAGACACTGATCTTCGAGGAGGTGAAAATTTACGGTGACCCAATGACCACGGCTAGCTGTCCTCCTCCAGTCATTGTGGAAATATTCGATTGGGACAAGTTGACATCAGATCAATTTTTGGGCCGATGTCAGGTAAGTCACGTGCGGGGGAAGGAGAGGATTGCTTCATATCATAAGTACATCAATAATGTCCAAAGGTGTTGTGTATTGTGTTTAGAAAATACTGAAATAATTTGGATTTCATTGAGCACGCTGAACCTTATTTCGTTTCTCAGTAGGTTTCTGAGAACAAGCAGAGTTCTGTTCCTTTCTTAGAGCACAGTAAATCAAGGAATCACAACACTGGTGCTGTGACAAATTTTTTAGGTTGGATGCGTCCTTCCTCAGCATACTAGACACCAAACCCAATCTCCGATGGTAATATTATAAGTAGTAGTATATGGATGACTGGAAATATTTTCCTAGAAACCCACCACCATTTTCGTGTTTCGTAATAGTGTCCATCCATGTAAGTATAGAAGCTATTTTAGTATTTCATGTGGGGTTTGTTCGTCTGTTTTATTCTTTTCTTTCCCCGGGAAGATTGTTCCTTTCATCAAACTGGACGCGAATGCTCCACTCAATTGTGTTCTCCAATGGTACAATATTGAGAAAGGGACCAAGAGTGGCGGGGAATTGTTGGCCGCATTCGAGTTGATTTTGGTAAGTGATCAAATATGAATTCTTTTTCTTCTCGTCCCCATGCATCCAGCGCAACGAAAGAGCCACCTTTTTTATGCTGCACACCTCAATGAGGTGTATGCATGGCTGAAGGATGGAGCCTCAGAGTTGAAAGAACGTACCGGTCCTTCGTGAATAGAATTATGTATTGCTGGCACAGTGTACCGGCAGGTTGAGTCTCTTCTGGGTCTCGAATCACGAATGTTGAAGTTGGAGCCTGAAATCTTACATCCTCAGCTATAAGGTCGACGATCATTGAATTTAGCTCACCGGTTGAATAATTAGATTTTAACTGTATTTCCGGATGGGCCATACAAATTCATAGATTTCGGTGTCTGTGTAGTGTCATTCTGGTTTATATATCATTTATTGTGTGTACAGCTCGATTACTCTACCGTTTTACATCGTCTCGTCCCTCTCACCTATGACCTTAAACAAGTAAATTCCCCCTAACTCTTTCTGTGATCTGATTGGATCATATTCCGCGATCTGCGGCCCTTGGAATCCCTCACTCCAAAGAGAGACTGATTACCGGCTTGTACGTTTTGTAATGCTCTTGTTGTTACGTCCAGTCCATCCGTGTGCTGATGGCACTCCTGCTGCACAATCGAAGTTCACTGGGCCTGCCTGAGACTCACGGCTGTAAACAAGGTGTGGTTTCTCGATCGATAAATGAACCCGATCGGTTGTGTGATTTTCGGGCCTGCACAGGAGGAGGATAAGTACCGAATCCGATGCTGCCTAGCTGTTGGTAGAGAATCACCCCAAGAGAATCAGTTGTGGAGCGGTGCACCATGTGGGAAATTCGGAATGGAAAATTCTCAATCGATCATGACACTGGGCCAACGTTTGACTCGTCTAAGATACACGCACTATTTTTCGAAGCGGGTTCGATAAACGGATAATCATAATAAAACTTTGAATTTGTCTTAACAACGGACAACAATATCCCCTTATATAGGTCCACGCAAAACTCGTCTTGGTTTTCCTCAACTGGTTGTTTTCGCGTTAAACGATCTTGCTAACTATCTCGAAGATAGAATTCCGAAAGAAAGAAAGAGCATATATTATGGAAAAATGCCTATTTATTTTATAAAAGTTGTTCAGTATATTTTCCATTCTGCCGCTTGAATAGAAAAAATCCGGTGAAGATAGTTTTCATCCACCTTCAGGATGGTAGCAGTTGGTATACTTTCGCGCTGCACCTTAATTGGTTTCTGTATTTATTCTACTGCTGTTGATTGTCTACTTGGTAGTCAAGCCCTAAGCAATGGGAAAACTCCGATACAAACTATTGCTTGAGAAAATTGTAGCAAGATTTTAACTGGTTTAATTCTGGACACTTAGCTGGTGCTTATTGTAGAAAAATTAGTTTGGAAATCACAAGTGATGATCTAACACAAGAACCAATTCATTCTTCCACTCACGTGGTTACCATGTTCGGGTCACACTAATGTAGACCTCGGTGTATCACCTCAGCCGCCCACTCGGAATAGTGTAAAAAAGAACTCTGACCAACGGCCCTCGATCGGCATGGTGTTCACTTTCTAGCAGCTACAGCTCACATCAAGTCTGCTGCAGTTTGGTAGAGTGTTGGAGGCTTTATAGAACGAGAGTACTAGTACTTTGATTGCTGACTAAGGATACGAGCAAGAATAACATTCCATGCTTATCGATAAGTGACAGTTCCATTGATCCGCTATCTGGTGCACATCGAATAGAGTGACGCTTGACCAGCTTTTGCGGAAAGCCCTTATCGCCTGTTGAGTAAAAAGCCTACCAGGAAATGCTGGAGTCGGCTTTTTTAGCTTTTATGCGAATAAGGTTATTCCATAAATAACAAAACAAATATTTTGCTTCTTCAATCCTTGTTGAGCTTATTTTGAAATACGGAGTATGATCTGAAAGCAAAACATTTGAGTGTACGCAGTTTTATTTCCTGGAGAATAGTCACCATATTCAACTCGACTTGGATGCGTCCATCCAGTTCATTCGTTCTTAAACAGTACTTGTTTCCCATCAATGGGAATTCGTCATAACTTTGAAATTCGTCGCTGAAAATCGGATAGTACTCAAAGTAATCTGAGACAATTCATTTTGTGCTGGGGGATCAGCGCAACAAAATGGTCGTATTCATTGACATTTCACATTTTGACCATGCATAACAAACAACCATAGAAGCATCAGGTTCGAACCCCTTACAGTTAGTTCTCTTGTTCCTTGTCCCTTCAGGCGATTCAGTACGGTGTCTTCTTAATCAATGAGTTGTGTGATTCACTATTCAAAGCCAAAATTCCTAAAATGGGGTTCGCACTCACTACCCCGAATACCTTCATTCCTCCATTCTATAGTACATTAGAAACGACCTATTGGCTAAATTAAAAAGGTAATTATTCTCTTTCTGTTTCTTTGAATTTAGTTGGACGGTAAGAAACCCCCACTTCCACCAACACGACGTGGTCGCCTGTACAATGTGCCCGAAAGTATTCGGCCGGTGCTTCAACGAACCGGGATCGAAATTCTCTGCTGGGGTGTGCGGAATGTGCGCAAGCATCAACTGGCCAGTGTGAACTCACCGTCTGTGGAATTTGAGATCGGTGGTAAAGTGATCGAATCATCGATCATCAAAGATGCCAGACGGAATCCGAACTTCACCGAACCGTTGCTATTCCTGGATGTTCTACTGCCCAAAGAAGAACTATACACACCACCAATGAATATTTGTGTGCGCGATCATCGGGCTTTTGGTCTTCGTCCATTGGTTGGAATTCATGTGTTAAAAAATTTCAGCCAGTTTAAAGTTCCTCCACGTACAGTTCGACATGATCCTCTGACAGAAATTCCAGGTATCTGCTGCTTTGTTAGTTCCGCTTTAAGAATTTACTCCATCATTTTCAAGCCTCGTATTTTACAAACAGTTAATTTTCTATTGGCATCGACCAGAACACATCTACAAAAATGTAATAATAACTTCAGCAGGTAAACCACAAAACCCAGTGCAGCCAATAAAATGAGACATGACTACTCAATACTATATCTGTCTTGCCTTGAAAGCGAGTCCTACGATTCATCAGTGTTATAAAACAAGGAATTTCGTTAGAAGCAACAATTCACCTCGTGTGTCCTCAATGACTTTTGGTTATATAAGTCTCAAAATCGCCTCATTTCACAGAGATCCAGTTTGGAAAAGTTACACGCAGGAGCGAAATCAACCGCATTACGGGTGACTGTCGACTTTTGTGTTTCGATGGATGCGTGAGAGAGGGATGAATGTACAAGTCTTGGATTATCAAGAAATTAGCTACACCCAACCTGGGTGACTTCGATTCAACGTGTTGAAATAAAATATACCTTTGTGTTTAAACTTTCACAGCAAAAGCGTGGGCAGCTATGTAGCCTGTAAACCAACCTGATGATAGTTTATAACACCGATTTGGTTGTGGGATTCATTGTTTTGTTTGATTTACGATCGATATTCTGGTTACTTTCCGGTTAACGAAAGACCTCGTTGCTGAAGTAATACACATTCCGGACAGACTAGGTCACGAAAGGAATCAATTTGAGTGAAATTCTTAAGTAGAAAATGTAATTAATTTCAAGAATGAAATACAAACTCCGATTGGCTTTCCTCTGTTTCATTTAAATCACCAGTACTCACGCACTTTATGGAGTTGCACGATCGTCGACATTTCCGAACAGCTCTTTTAATCGTGTTTTCCATTTATAATCTATGATCACTTAATCCCACTTTACGTATTCAGGTGCTTTGGTTTCACATATCTCGTCCTTATCTGTTCCAGCTTTATGCGATCCCTCCCTCTTGGCAACACTCCCGAAAGAAGTGATAAAGACAAAAGAAAGTAAAATGAAACTGAAGAAAAAACCAGTGAGTAAAACTTTACAAACTTTCCCCAATTGGGACAGATTTTATCCGTGCTAAATGACATGCGATTTTGCTGTGCCTAGTAGATTGCCGTAACTCGTCAAGTTCTCCTAATCTTATTGTGCTTCTGAATTCACCAAATTTCACGAAACGGAATGCGTCTACAATTGTCGTTTTAAGGTAATGCCGCACACGTTAGAGATTATGATAAAATTTCTCGGTGGGGGGAGGGGGGTGACTGTCAAAACTCGTCTTCGTTCTATCCAATCGAGTAGTTCGGATATCCAAAGTGACTACCTTGATTGGGGCATGAGCTGCGCATGTCACTAAATAGATTGCTGCGGTTCGCATACTGTCCACTGAGGCAGGCGATGAGTGGAAAAGTAAAGGGTGGTCAAACTAAGATGAGGTCAAACAAGGCTTTCTGGATGGAGACATCTGAAACAGCGTAAGCAAGATTTAGAGACTCTGAGTGATACGGTTGAGTGTCGGAAACAGTCGCGCTCGTGGATTTTCTCTGTTTCTTTACAACCTTAGTTTTCATGAATTCTTTATTTTCGCTCTGAGATGGATTTTAAAATTCCAATCCTCGTTTTACGTTTTCGTCCAAGTGGACAGTCATTGGACAGCAACCAAAGCCGGTGCAAGAAATGACATGGTCTGTGATTTTACAAACTGATCTGAACTGACCCCATCACAAGCTTAACCCTGAACCTTACGGACGAAGTGTTTTATAATTGGACATGGCCTACGGCAAAGTGTTCATTATTCCTAATCAAAATACACTCTGCCTAATAGGTCCTTTGACGATGGATTGAGGGGAAAAACCAAGCGAAATGTGCAGTACATGGATCGCTCTTTCAGTGACGCAGATTTGTTCTTTTTAACAAATCTAACAATCTGGATCCTGATATTTGGCTATGTAGTGTAGTCCATCAGCAAGTACAGTGCGCGGCTCGGCAACCCGTTCTGTCTTTCCCAGGTGTAGCTGGTTGTTTCAGCTCCCTCCCTGCTGCACACGTTACCATGGAAATACTGTAGCGACCAGCGACTGGTCAGGCTTGGACCTGAGTAGGATGTCTGTGCGAGTGCGAGGTCAAAAGTACTGCGGTCCACGGTTCACTCGCGCTGTTTTGTAGCTTTGTATCTGGTTGAAGCACCTATTTTTTATTAAAATTAAGGAAGAGAGGTTTGCGGAATGGACTGTCACTGTTTTGGTCGGTTTTGACGTTTTGATCTGCTGTTGATCAAATCATGCGGTCCAGTAGGGGTAGCTTAAAGCTGTATGGAAGTCGCTTTGTTTACGTTACTCAGGGTGGTGGGTTCGGACGACGGCTCCCTCGGTTCTGTGTAAACTGAACGGTCTTATTTTATTCCCCAGGAGTACTGGAAGGTCAAACGTGACTCGGCATGATTTCCTCACTTCCGCATAGTGGCCGGCGTTATTAAGTCATTCCATAGAGGATCTTCGGAGAGCCTTTCTGGCCTCTTGTATCACCCCAGTTAAAGGGAGATCTTGAGCGTTTTCACTTAACTGCTGACTGATAACATATACTGAGTATCGATTGAATGTTTGTTGATTGCTGGTTCAAGTGCGACAAAAATGTCATCTAAATACTCACACAAATATCCATTTTAGAGATTTCATTGAACAATTTATTTTTTCCTGACTTTGTTACAAAAATATTTCCAAGTATTTGGGCAGAGGATGAGTCCTTTACCATTTATCGACCGGAACCATGGTATGTTTTTATTTATCGAATACGGAGATTAAAATGAAAACATTTTCAGAAATCTTACTTCCATCGCAATCACAATAAAATTACCAATATGAATGCAACGATTTCGCTAATCGATCTCATTCTTTGGCTTACCGTTTGTAAATTACCATGTTTCAAGTCCTCGAAAACTGTGCAAACCGTACCTACATCCGGTTCGAATGAATCTTCGAGAAAATCGATGAAGTGGCAGTTTACCGGATTCAAAAAGCAAAAGGCGACAAATTTGAAGGTAACTACTGATGATTCTGAGGTTTTTTCCGGGAGGATATTCATTTCATTAAATGATACAATAGCAGTAACAATAAACTAATTTGTTTCATTTTTCTAAACAAATTCCAGATTATGAAATGGTTCTCGGGATTCTTGCTGTGCAACTGTGCTAATGACACTCCGTAAAGTTTTCGTCCACAATAAAACACTACTTAATTTCACGCAATTTTCAACTCCAATATCAATATACGTACATACAAATACACCAAAACATATTTAATAACCACTGAGAGATTGAGTGCTTCCTGGATGTCGAGTGGTCAAGTACAAAACACGGGCTGTACAACTGTTAGTCTTGTCGCTACTTATGAGTAGTCTACCACATTCAAAAAAACGTAATCCGGGATAAATATCAGGTATTATCAT